GGGTGTCAGGGCTGACAGGTTCGGCTTTTGCTTTTTTTGCGCGCTCATTTGCGGCACCTGGGGCCTAATTATTCGCCAGGGGTGTCACAAGCTCCTGTTCTCCCTGGCCGCCAGAAGCGGGTGTCACCCAGGGCCTCATGTCGCTCTGCACCCTCCTGTGCCTCTGAGCCGTCTCGTAAAGAGCCAGCTCCTTCCATACGTCCATAAAACCTAAATCCGGGGTGGCCAGCGTTGAGTGAGTGACTTAACTCCAAGCCCGAGTTGTCTTTATGGTGCCCTTGGCCCGAATTCGCTGGCATTAGGTGTTTTCAGTGAAACTGCAGAAAGCAATGGCAGACCCCCTCCACAAATCCCCCTTGCTTTAGAGCCGTTCCGCGTTCAAGCCGGGCGAACCGTGCGCCTCCAGTCAGAGGTGCAAGCGTTTATTCACGGATGTCATTCTTTGTCGTTTAGGGAATTGTCTTGTGCTAATGCCGAGGTGCTGGCATAAGGATAAGTCTGAATCTAGAACGTGTTTCTCATCTGGGTTTAGACTGGATTTTTTCCCATGTCGCGAGCTGTAGGTCTATTTCCGATTACTGCAGAGGAATTTTTGGAGATTAACAACCACTTTTGAGAGCTCTCTGAAGCCCCATTTTGTCAGTGATTGGCTTATGCCTTGAATTTAAATTACTTATGCGCATGCTTAAAATATATGCGTTTCCTCTAGGAATTAATATTTCCAGATTGCTGACTTCTAACTTCAGCCAGTAAAACAACATATGAATAATTTCATGGTTTGATCAAAGCAAAATTGTATTAAAAAAATACTTAAAATGCATTGTTCAAAACAATTGCTTTAATCATTTATTTGAATCTTTAATTCTCTTTTTTTAATTTAGTATAATCATCCTTTTGAAGATGACGTGCTTATTTCCATGGAAACTCTCACTTATGATACAGCTGATGGTAAGAACTTCTTAAAACTTTAATGTTTACGTGCTGTATATTTAGACTTAGTAAAGGATGCAACTGTTGGCAGTTGTATGACGTTTAATTGCAACAGATATGGTTAAGTATGACATTTTGTATGCAAACTTTGAAACATATCTGTAATACTTGGAGAGTTTACTTCTATGCACCATTTTAGTCCATTTCATGCTCTGTTTTAGACAACAGAGGAGAGTTATTAACAACTTCAGGATAACAAAGGTTAATATTTGCATGACTTGTAAGAAGAATCAAAATAGAGAAGAAAAATAAAAAAAAATAAAAAAAGAGAGAAGAAAAGTTTGCATTTCATAGCATTTTATATACATTGTCCTTTGAGAGAAGGAGAGAGAGGAAGCGTACATACAACACTGTAATACACAATCTTGGATTTGTAAAGACTTGATTATGCTTTTCGTTTAGTAACTTCTATTCAGTATGAAATGAATATGGATCTCAGTCCTGTAAAGCCTTACTTATGGCTGTAACGAACCTCAGATACTAGATAGTCTGAATGCATTAAATAAAATATCAAAATTAAAAATTTTTGCTTTTCTTCCCAGCATCTGAGACTGTAATGCTCTTTGGATTTTAGGTCATTGTTGTTAGACTCAGCATGTGATATTTTTCTCTTTTTTTTTTTTGCCTGACTGCTCGATTAACTTGAATTATAATATACTCTTGATTTGTTTTTTCTGTAAGTTTTTGTTTGAGCAGTTATGTTGGAGGCGGTTCAGATTTGATTAAATTTTGTTATGATGTAATATGTTCTTCCTAAGTGTTCATGTTTGTTAAAATGATAGTTGGTGTAGATAGTGTTATAATAAATCTGTGTTTCTGTTGTTATCTTTTATTGTTTCTAGGACCAAAAGAATGGGAGAAAGTGCCAGACAACATGCGTAAGAAATGGAAGGATGAAGTACTTAAGGTACTTAAGTACTCAAGGTATCTAGCTTTGCCTCAGTCTTTAGTAATAGAAACAATTTTACTGAGGAAAAGCCATTCCCCCAAACCAAGAGACAGGGGCCAGGAACAAAATGTCCCCCCCCCAAATCCAGAACGACATGGTCAGTGATCTACTGCTCCACATCGATGTGCACAAATCTATGGGGCTGGATGGGATTCATCCTAAAGTGCCAAGAGAACTGGCAGGGCTGCTCACCAAGCCACTGTCCATCATTCATCAGCAGTCCTGGCTGACTGGCCATGTCTCAGCTGATTGGAAGTCAGCCAACATAACACCCAGCTATAAGAAGGGATGGAGGGACAATCCAGGAAATGACAGGCCTGTCAGTTTGACTTTAGTGCCAGGGAAGCTGGTGGAGCAGATCGTCCCGAGTTCCATTATGCAGCACATGCAGGACAGCCAGGTGCTGAGGCCCAGTCAGCAGGGGTTTGGGAAGGGCAGATCCTGTTTAACAAACCTGATCTCCTTCTATGAAGGGGTGTCCCACTTGCTTGATAAGGGAAAGGCTGTGAATGTTGTCTACCTTGACTTTAGTAAAGCATTGATACTGTTGCCCAGAGCATTCTGCTAGAGAAATTGACTGTTCTTGGCTTTGCTGGGTTAAAACCTGGTTAGATGGCTGAGTCCAAAGAGTGGTGGTCAACAGAGTTAAATCCTGTTGGTGGCTGGTCAGGAGTGGCGTCCCCCAGGGCTCGGCACTTGCTCTCTGTGTCAGCACGCTAAAGCCATTACTGTAGTGGGTGTATGATCTGGGTTGTTTTTTTTTTTTATTCTGCATATTTTGTTAAACAAGCAGTTACTTCTACTTCCTAACTCCCCCATAAGAAGTAAACACGTGAGTGAATTTCATCAAAATCTTAGTGTGTCTTGCATAACTGAAAAATCACCTTACCGCTATGTTCCTAGCATGTCTGAAAAGCTAGGTTGTGTAGTGTGCCTTGGCAGTTGACAGAGAAGTTCTGAACCCCGCAGAGTGAGGGGATGTGAAATGAAATCAAGTCTTGGGGAACAAGAGTGGATTTAATGGAGACAGAAAAGGGTCTGTATTTCCTGTTCCTTTTCCACTCCTGGCAGGACTTTATGCCTCCTCTACGAAGCATTGCTGTTCAGCTTTACAGACTAAATCCATTAAGGACTGCAAGAGGAATTTTCCATCTTGGCCTCTTATGTGAGCCAGGTTAGCTATAGCTTATGCTCTTGCAGTGATTTTAACACAACAGTGCAGCGAGAAGTGAGTGATAGGTAAGTTTTACCACGTATTTGTGACTTTTATGGTCAGGCCATGGGAAACCTGAAGGAAATGGTTGTTTAGGAAGTACCTAGTTGTGAGAGATACCATGGTAAATAAAGGCTTTTGTTAAAATAATGTAACTATTCTAAGATTCTTCTGACTTTTTCTTTTTTCTACTTGCAGCATGCTAGAGAAAGTCAAAGGAATGCAGGTAACATGTTTAAAAAACTAAGTGCTGTAAATTATCTTATTCAAAGAGTTGTGACTTAATAAAAGACCTCCTGATTTTATGACAAACTCTTTAGGATACTCACTGGTTTTTGTAGGGGGAAACACCTCAGCAACCAAAAATTATGTTCATAAGGATTCTAAAATGTATTTGAAGATGTTTAAGATGAGTAAATACATTATAATTGATGTTGCTATTATCACAAGTTGATTAAAATAATTTCTCCATATCAATTAAACAGACAGGTTTTTTGTTGTATTTGTTGTTTTGTCAGATATTCATTGAATCTAAAAATTACAACACTGAGTTACGTGGGTGTGCAAGTGGAGAAATCTGGAAGTTGCTAACTTTTTGAAAATAACTAGATAAGTAGGTATATTAAAAAATGTGTGTTAAAAAAAAACATCTCATGATGAGCTATCAAAAATTTAGCAGATTATTCTGTATACTGAATGGATCAGGCTGCCTCCAGGAAAAAGTAGCATATAGTTGTTTGATTAGAGATCAAGCATGATACAAGACAAATCGAGGCTGCATAACAGTGTGTAATTCTGATACTACTTAGGGAGACATCTGAATATTTTCTCTTCTGAAAATGAGCTCTATGTTCCAATAATATATGTTTTTTACTGAGATAAATGTTTGGGTAAATTATGATGTGTAGTACAATATGTATAGGTATGTTAGGCTTTATTATCTTAAGGTTTTGAATTTTTGGTGTTTTTCATGACTTTCACCTGAGAAACTTCCATGCTGAATCATGTGAGGACAAAACACAGCTTAGTGTCTCACACCCTCTACAATCCTACCAAAATCCTTGCCCATACAGGGTTCAGGTGTAGACTTTGAATTAGCTTGTGAAATTAAAATGATGAGCCAGAAGATAAGAGTACAAAAATACATAGATGGTCCATATCTTTTCCTCTAATTTTTAGAAAATACGTGCTGATGGGTCTGAAGAGTATAAAAAATGACTGACTACAATATGTGGTACAACACAGCAAGAAATTACCTATCAGTGAGATTTTAAAAAGAATCAATATTTGAAGTCTTTTAGAAGTAGTTTTTGGTTAATCTTTGTGTTTTGACCTAGGGTCAGAATGCCTTAGAAGTTCTTACGGAAGGAATTTACTTGAAATTTCTTTAATGTTACGAAGGCTTGATCTAATTCATTTTGAATTTAGTGTACTGCATTACAGATGAGGTATAAAACCAGAAAAAATATTTCTTACTTTTTCCGACTTTTAATGTAACTTGAGCAAATACTTCATTGTTTAGTTATGTTTTAAGTTATCTCGGGGAAGAAATTTACCCAATATTGAAGTTGTGAGAATAGCACTAGTGTTAACAGATTTTGTTATAAGGAAAACATTTTTACAGATTTGTGTGTGTATATATATATATGCTATAAATGATAGAATCTCTTGGATTCTGTTCGATTTCAGAAAATTGTGTCTTGCACTGGCTTCTATGTGAAACACAAAAGAACATGGATTGAGCATTTGAACTGGATGGTTGTTGTTGGTGTTACCATTAAAAAAAAAATCCCAATGACAACAGTAACAAAAGATCTTCTGGCCATGTATTATTAAGCTAATGAGCAAATTATACTTGTTCTATACTCTTAGGTGGGCCTGATACACGTTTTCTGCTAGGATTCATAAATTTCTATGCTATTAAGTGTGAACGTTTAAGGCCACAAAAATGATCCACGGGCTGGAGCACCTCTGCTATGAGGACAGGCTGAGGGAGCGGGGATTGTTCAGCCTGGAAAAGAGAAGACTTCAGGGGGACCTAATAGCTGCCTTCCAATACCTGAAGGGAACCTACAGGAAGGCTGAGGAGGGACTTTTTACAAGAGTGTCCACTGATAGGACAAGGGGAAATGGGTTTAAGTTGAAGGAGAATAGATTTAGATTAGATCTTAGAAAGATCAGTACGAGGGTGGCAAGACTTTGGAATAAATTGCCCAGAGATGTTGTGGCTGCCCCCTCCCTGGGGTGTTCAAGGCCAAGTTGGACGGAGCCTTGAATAGCCTGATCTAGTTGAGAGGTGTCCCTGCCCATGACAGGGAAGCTGGACTAGACGATCTTTAAGGTCCCTTCCAGCCTAGGCCATTCTATGATTTAAAATATCTTTATAAGACACAAATATTTATTAATGAACCCCTTCCCTCAGAATATGACTTGTAGTATTTTTTCCAATTCACGATTCTGAACTTTGCCAGAATCTATTTTTAGCATTTGGATAGAATGTCTAGGATCCATATGAAGTTTTACTGGGTAAAGTGACAAACCTTTGAGTTTCAGGATTGTTTCTTTTTTTTAATTTATGGCAGTCTTGAGTACGAGAGGACAAAGTAAGTTATATTTCAGTCTCTGAGAAGAGCAGGGTTTCTGTCATATATGTAGCTGCTTAAAAATCTTCCTTTCCTTGAGAATTTTTTCTGGAACAAAATACCTTCTGTGGTGTTTCATAGATCCTGCTCAGGTATTTCAGTGGGACATTACTGTGTTATTCTGATTTCCAGTGTTGCCAATCCAGAAATTTTTGGAAACACTTCATGCAGCTTCTAAAAAAATGCATTACTAATATATTCTAGAGGTAGAATTACTGTATTTTTTTTTTGCAAAACAGTGAACATAAATTTTCTGAAAAGGTTGCAAGCTGAAGTCAGAGCCTTCTAGTTATATAATATGCTTCATTAACTTTATGTGAGAGAGTGGTTTTACAGCCCAGTTTCCTACTGGATAGAAAAGTGTGCTTAGAAAAGTTACCAGTAGTCTGTGTCCAAACTGAGGGATTTTTTTCCCGGAGTTGTCGTGAGCAACTTTCAGTAAATAGTCAAGGAGGAGGGAGATACCCTCAGTTAATGTGCAGATGGTACCAAGTAGGGATGACCACTGTGGAAGATGATCTGATAAACAGGCTAAAACTTGAAGTAAATTTTCTGTAACATCGTGCAGAGAAGTTAAAGCTCATAGACTTGCACGGGAATAACCAAATACAGGAAGAGGCAATTTTGAAGGCTGATGTGGCAACCAAGAACATCACTGTTGTGAAAATAGCACACACTGTGCTACAAGATGTGCACAGGTCCTTAGTACGTGAGGCACACAAAGCAAGTTTTCTGCACCGTTCAACAGCAGTAAAATTTGTGGTGGTGGACTTTGTTGTGCATTTGATCATAGCTTGACGACCTGGATTCAGAAAAAGAAAAAATTACTGGAGCCACTGGTGATCAGCATGGAGGGGAGCAGGGAAAAACAAAAGCAAGCTTCTAGGTTAAATATGAGAAAAGCTTTCTAAACGTAAGCCTAAGGAAATAGTGAAATAAGTTTCTTGGAGATTATGGAGTTGCTTTTAATGAGTTAGACTTCTAGAGGTAAGTTAGGTATAGTTGGTTCTGCTTTAAAAAGGAAGAAGGAAAAGCAGGCACCTTTATGTTCCTTTCCATATGTCTTAGACTTTCAGAAAGCCTTTAGGAAACTGGAAATCCTTAGAGGTATGCTTGGCAATGTTAAATAGTAGGAAGTGTTTATAGAAGTAAATAATGCCTGTGTGCCTGAGTTTAACCAAAATGAGTAAATCGCTTGTGATACTTGATATCAAATTTATATGGAAACAGAAACACAGAAAAAAGCAAGGTTGACAAATTCTGCATTAAACAGAAACTTGTTTAATGACAGTTTGGGGTAGGGTAAACATCTGAAAGAACATGTATTATTTTTATTATTTAAGTCTATCACATGCATAAGAGTCATGAGAGGTCCTGCTACAGGTTTAGTACCAGCAAAGTCTTATGTTCAGAATTTTTTTTTTTTTTTTGTGGAGGAAAGACTAAATTTCTGTAATTAGTACGATATTAACAATAGATTGAGCACTAATTTTTATATGCACATCATAATCATATGACTGTCTACAGACTTGAGAGCTTGTTCGAGGTAAATTTTTAAAATCTTAATAATGCAATGGTTAGAAATCCAACTTCTTTTCACCAATATCAAAATGTTTTTCAGTCTGAGTAATTTTAATAGCAACAATATCTGGCTTAGAGTTTAATTGTAAAATAAGTTTATGTGGAAGTTGCATTACTTCTCTGTGGGTCAAATATAGTTTCAGTTTTATTTAAATCTGCCTGAATTGCATTAGCCACTGAAGAACAAAATACAGACTGATATGTAAAAAGGGGAGGAGTTCTCAGACATCTTTTAAACTCTTTATGTTTCTTCTGCTTCTTATGAGATGAATGGGGGGCAAAATGACCCACAAAGATTGTGGGTGGATCTATCTGTGCAGGAGGACAAGCATTGCAGCTTTGGAAGGCCCCCTTCCCAAAAATAGTTGCAAATATGCAGTAGAGGCTTGGGGCTCTACCCTTAGGCTTCAGGACTAGTTAGTCTTTCTTATCCTTTTCAGCGTATGTCAAGAAAAATGCACAAAAAGTTTGTAGTTGTCCTCCTTGTTTAAAAGGCGTACCATCTGATAAAGAAGCAGATTTTCTGTAGTGCTTCATGGGTTAAGAAGATAACACGTAATATGGTAGATGTACATGTCTGATTATAATTAGTCTGCTGTATTTGGCTAGAGTGTTGTTCTGTTTCCTGTTTATTCATTGTTCCAGTATGTTCTCCATCTCTAAATGTTTGTGTTAAATATTTTTCAAAATAGAGTATGTACAAATGAAGAATTAATGAGTTCAGTGGTCTATGACCTATCAGGTTCAAATAGAATTATTTTTTTCCTGCCATGTGTGCTAAGAAACATCAAAGCAACAAACAAGTGATTCTGAAGATGGATGTTCGACAGTAGAGGTATGGGCACCACTTTTGCATCTACTTCGATAAAGCCTCTTTGGGAAAATGTATTTATGTAATCAAAAGCTAAGAAGCTATTCATGAGCAGGTGGTCATCTACCATAGCTATAAAGTTAGATTGTAAAGGCCTACTAATTGCTGAATTGAATCACTTCATTCTCCTTCAATAAGTACTTCTGTAAAAAAATGAGATCTTAGTTTGCTGCAGTTCTTAAAACTTTAGATATCTTATTAAAGAATTGCTTTATGTTTCAACTCATGTAGTTCCCCGCATCAATTTAAGAAAGATATGTCTCTTCTTACCAGGTGACTGTTCATATAAAATTAAAATGTTCTTATTCTGGTTAATGTTGATCATCTAGTAGTCTTCCCCTGATTGTTCCCTCCCCCATAGGTTCTGTGGTGAATTCAAGTTCTAGACTTCAATATGTGGTAGTCTAATACATTTTGTGATGTATCCGTGCCGTTTTTTTTTTTAATTTTTACAATGTCCCCATTCATGTTCTTTATGTGTTAGGGTTTACATATATTTCATATAATGACATATCCTCCCTTCCATTGTGATATTTGGGGTATTGAATAACAACCATGATATCAGCCATGGATTTTAGCTGAATTCTGTTCTTAAGTTTATTTAAAGGGAGAGAGAGCAGTTGGATATAGGCTATAAAAACATCAAGTGTACCCCTAGGGCAATATATGTGTCTAACTTCTTAAATTTTTATTTTTAAAATCTGTGGTTGTCTAGAATAGCTTCATTTGACTCCTTTATCTTTTTGAGACGAAAGTATTCAGCATTTGAAGAGTGATATGTGCCATGTCACTGGTCACTCCTAATTATTAGTTCTACACAGACGGTAGTTAAAATTGTCTCATTTTGTTGGTGTCATTTGAATCCACAAACCGCTAATTTTAAGATTTAACTGGACAGAATACATTTAGACTTTTTAAAAAGAATTCTGAAGAGCGTAATGTCAAATGTAGATTGTAAACATTTAAAAAAGACTGCTTATCCATATAAATGGACTTTTCTTGCAACTGTCAAGACTTCCATAGAAGGAAAAAAAAGTCTAACTATTTGAAATATTATATATAGATTGTTTGAAGTAGGCAATTAAGAATTTTTTAAGTGGGCAGTTAAGAAACTTACCTTGTACTTTGAAACGCAGAGAAAATCTCCAGTATGTACTAATAAGGATTTGATCTGCTTTTAAGGAATCTCCTGAAAAGTCTAGTACGGATACATCTGATACAGGTGAGTTTTTTAATTTACTTTTATCTACATTTTTTCTTTAACTTTTCAAAAAGGATTGCAAGTAACTTTGTCATAGTTTTCTCATATAGTAAAAATAAGTGTTCTACACCCTTTCAGAAAGTATTTCCAGGGAATAATAAGAGACTGAGGTACTGGTAGTACTATGAAATCAATACCCACATTTCCCTTTAAAATCTCAGTCCTGAATCCCTGATATGCTGGAAAGTCAATGTAAAATATCTTTGATTGCCTTCTCTTAATAAGGAAAGGAACAATGAAATCAAAACTTTGGCGTGTCAGTGGAACATTTATTAACAATTATAATATGCGTTCATTTCTAGTGGTATGGTAAACATGGATAATGCATTCAGCTGCAACAATAAGTCTTCAGTCATGCTTGTAACATTTTTAGCGTTAGTCTTGGGGCCTGCCTGCAAAATTTTGGCCTTGTATTCCCCAATAATTCTTCGGTTGTATTAATTAGTGGTAACAATCTTTGACTTCTTTTTAAATATTTAAAACTGGTATTACTCAAGATCTTTTGATACTTGTCCATTTAAAACCTTACTATTTTGCATAAATCAAACTATAGCTGGGAAGTAACTACCATATAAAGATTGAAGGATTAGTTGCAGCAAAATATGGTTGACTGGTGTTGAAATACTCTAGTATAAATCAGGTGGTTCATATGCATAGCTGTCTCCAAGGCAGATGATTACTTATTTCTTAGTGGAGAAAACAGAAAATAACAACCTGAAATTTGTCCTGCTGTCATTTGAGAGGATCATTTCAAATATCTACTTGAATGATTAAATCATTTCTGCAAATTTAGAAAATGTGACTTCATTTTCTTTCAACCTGCGTAATGAAATGCAGGAAACAAATTTCAGAGGCACCTGCAGCTTAGCTTGTGTAAGTGTCCTTTGTGTCTTTTGCACTCGTGGGATAAATGAGCAATGCAGCTCAGACTCCAGCACCTTCACAGCAGCATACAATAATACACTTACCTACACTTTGTCTCTTATGAATGTTTTAGGAAGAGATTGAGGAGGATTTATAGTAGCCTCTGTGAATCTCAGCTATCTCCAGATACAGTAAGACCTAGAAATTAGCTTCTTGGAGATGTGTGATTGGATTCCTCATTTAGAAATGGAATTCATCAAGGTGTTTCTGGGCTTTTTTTGTGGATTTTTTTTGTTTTGGGGATTTCGGGGTGTGTTTTTTTTAAATATATAAAAGGTTGGCAATAGGCATGCTGACTGTTAAGAAAAAAGTGTGTCCTTAGCTGTTTTAGTTCAAACTTCAGCTTTGGCACATAGTAACTACCTGTATTATAGGTCAGTTTTTCCAGCAGAAAGGTAGGAGTTTTCGTTTTCCTTCTTTCTTCTGCACTTGAGGAACAAAGGTGTTCCTGAATTTCCCTTTCGGCCCTTAAAAGCACTTTAAGGTTCCCTGGAGAAGATACTTCATTTTGTCTGTTCTGTGCAGTCCCATGGTCCTCTGGTAATAATTAATATTCCGGTGACTAGAAGTATGATTGCCAATATATTGAAGACATACTAAAATTCCACTTTTGTGAGGTTTCACACCCAAAAGAGTATTCAACTTACATACAAACCAATTCATTCTATGATACAAACTATTTTCTAATAAGCTGTAATTAACATGATGGAGTCAACCATTCCTGGGCGCTGGAGCTGTCACCTTTATCTCCATAACCTCACCGTATAAGAGTCTGCTTATCTCAGTGACCATCTGGGGAGCAATCTGCCAATTTAGTGCCTGATTCCACTGGAGGAAGACGGGCAGAAGGAGAGTATTGGCTGCTACAACAGGAATTGGAGGCTGAAACTTTTCTAGATTAAAACATAGCCATCTTACTGCTTCCTCCACTATTGAAGCTTAGTAACTGATTTCCTTTAGATAAAGTGATCACAACTTTGTCTTCCATTAGTCCTGTGGAAGAAACTTTTTATAACCTGGCAGATAGGGGTTTCAACTCTAAGAAAATAGTTCTACTGGACCCAGGTAGACTGATTGCTCAACACTATCACCAGAAGATGTAAAATTGTGTTGTCTCCAACAAAGATACCATTTCTTTCATATATATCTTTATCCATATATATCCTGTACGGCAGCAGCAGTCATAGAACTTAGGTGGTGATTGTACTGTTGGAACAAAAAACGAAGATGGGATTAGCTGGAAAAGATTTTCATTCCGTTTTAGTAATTTAAGTATAGTAGGAAGTGATGTGGGTAGGTATCACGACTGAGATTTTTTTTCACTTCTTGTTTTCAGTGTTACTTTCTTCTCCTCTTTCTCTCCCTTCAGTGAATATGATTGTGATACTAAAAAAATTCAGAAATCAGGGATACAGTGTAGTCACGTGTTTTATGATTGTGAAAGACTGAGGCTTTAGCTAATGATGAATTGGAACATCTGACTACATCTAGGAAAAAAAAAAGAAATTATTGTTTCATTTCATTCATAAAACAACCAACAGAATACCTAAAAATTGAGCTGGAAGATTTGGACTTACTCTTTAAAATTCTCAAGCCGGTTGTATTTCTCACCAGTTCTAAGATAGTCTTGACAATAAGAAACTAAGAAAAAGATGTGTAGTAGAAGGTCCTTACTATCTTTCTTGGGATATTTAAAAGGGAAATAAGTGGGAAAGATAAGATAATGAATAGTGAATCTTGCAAGAGCGGTGCTTTGAAAATATTTTACTCTCAAATGATTAGCATATATCTTGAACAACTACTTACAAAAAGTTTCACTCTTCTTTGTTCCCTTCAAGTCATTTATGAACCTATAAACCATATTTTCCAATTGGACATAAAAGGGAAATATAATACAGATTAAAAGCTTTAGGGTAGAACACAATTCTCTAAAATGAAACCGGTTTTGTCAACAAGTTATGCAGTATGCATGTTTAAAAACATTTCTCTTCTGGTTTTGAGTTCAACTAGTTTTTATTCAGTATTCATGTTCAATTGTAGATGAAGAAAGTGATGCCAGTATAGTTTCCATAAGAAGAAAATTTGAAGATACTCACTTCCAGGTAAAAATTTGTGGTGTCTAATGTAATGGATGTAATAATTTTGTGTTTGAGCTATTTGAATAGCTTTTACACACCTGATGAGTTGATGCAGTCAGCAAAAGACTCTATGTAGTCTGTGTCTTAATGTGCATTTTTATTAAGTATGAAAAAAATGATAAGTTTGATAAATAGTGTAATAAAAAACACTATGAAGTAGTATTATGTCTTCATATTGTTAGTACACCAGAAAAAGCCGTACAATGTATTGAGAACAGGCAACCCTGAGAAAGGCTATTAAAGCTCTGGAAAAAGAACAGCCAAAGAAATCGTGAAGTGAAAAGACTTACAAAAACATGATTGCTCTCCTGAGAGTCTAGGATAAACAGGTTAAAAAAAAAAGTAAATCTGAAATAATGGCCACTATGACAAAAACAGACTGGAATTTTCTGCTGTCATTTCCCAAACTAGACAATGGATAACAGGGCTACCCTGAGTAGTTACATCGATGAAGAAAAGTACAACATATACTTTGTGCATGCAGCCATTCTAAATGTGTTCTGCTTGCTCAAATACAATTACCAAAAATTCAGTTTGCTTTCCTTACTTGTTTAGCATAATGTTAAGCAATGTCATGTCTCTGACAACAGCTAATGCAAATTGTTTCAGAAAGCAAGAGTTTCACTAATGAAAAACATTTGCCAGTATCAGCCAATGCTTTTGGATTTTATTTAGAGGTGTGTAACAGAGTAGATCTTAATTTACATATGAATTCATGGGATATTAATACTAGGTGTAAAGATGTGCAACTGTAATTACCAGTGCTTTGTAACCTAACACTAGGACTTTTTAGTTCTGTTTTTATCAGTAGGTCTTCTGAGGCAGCATGTGCTTTCCGTGCATCAATAAACTAGCTAGTTTCTTCTTTTTATGTGTCTTTGCGTCTCATTCCTTCTTGGGGAGGTTCTTTTATTTTTATTCTTTTATGTGAAATGTATACACTAAAAATAAGTTTATGGTGGTTGGATATCATATTATTGTGAGACAAATCTAAGTAATATGTTTGGGGTTGTCAGTGTCAATAATTTCTGTGTGATTTAATTACTTTTTTCTTTCCTGTTCTAAGAATCCATTTGTAGGTGATGGGAAAATTCAAGAGACTGTAAAAGTTCAAGTTGATGTGATAGTACAAGAGGATACTAGAAAAATCCCCAAGTGGATTACGGTAATGTATTTCGTCTGTTCTATTATAAGTTACTAGTTAATTAGAACCAAGTAGGAACTCTCTAACTGTGCAGCACAATGACTTTAATACAACTTCTCTGCTGTGTCATCATTATTCTACTCCTGCTTGCTGCCTACATAAATATCACAGTGTCTTGGGCCTCTTATGGCAAAGATTTGTAAGAAATAGAGCAGATGATAAGCAAATATTTCTTTTTGTTTTGTTCATTTGTTTGGATTTTTCTGTGGGGTATTTTTATGCTTAAAATTTATCTCTGATGTGCAAGCTGATCTTCAGTAAGTTTTATGAAAAGGCTACATCTGGGGTTTGTAGAGAAAGAGTTGTGACGTTTTTGTTTTGGGGTTGAGGGGATTTGGGGGTAAAGGGTTACATTACGTGGCATAGCTGCTATTTCCTACTGTAGTTGTAAGAGGTGTATAGATTATCCTAGTGTATATATCAATTTATAAATACTCATATTTGGGAAAGAGATTAAAATATAATACATGATGTAGAAGTTGCAAAGATGATAATTAGATTTCTAAGATTAAACTGGTAACTCTTAAAAATTGTTACTGAAGTCTTAGACTGGCCTTTTTCTTTGCCTGAAATTTACTAAGCCCCTTAGGACTATAACTGTACAGGACCTAGGATAGTAGGGAGAGAGTAGGAGGAGTCACAAATAAGATTTTGATGTTACCTTTAATGTACAAAAAAATTGGAATATTAGATTGTATCTTTTTCTTTTGTTTTTCAGATTCTGCCTCAAGGTTCATCAGAAAGTCGTCATTTAGCTTTGCCAATGCAAGAAGCAGTTGGTACAAGTAAATCTTTTATGTGTTGGTCAAATATGTTAGTTACAAAATGTAGTTATATTAAAATTTATTAGAAATAAATATTTAACTTATTGAAAACACAGAGACAGTATTCATGCAACATAAGTTCAACAGGCTAGAATCTTGAAGAG